ATATATATATGGAAGAATGAAATTTTGCGAGCATCGCGTTCTTATATATATATATAACATTTTTCTCCAAACTGGGTGCACCGAATCATTTGAAGCTTCACCACGTGATTACGAAGGTCCGAAGGAAGAACGCGATGCTCGTAAAATTTCATTCATTCAAAAGAACATTTTTTTTTATTTAGCCTACACTAGAACCAAGATCACATTTTTTTTTTTTTTTTCGTGAAATATGAAATTTCACGAGCATCGCGCTCTTCCTTAGGATCTCCACAATCACGTACAGGTAACCCTCCTATAACACGGTAGGTTCCTAGAAAAAACCGTGTTATACTCATAGACTCAGAGCCAGGACAAAAAGGGGGGATTACGTTCCGAAAACGTATTAAAAACAAACTTTTTTTTAATTCCATATAAGCAACTTAATTTTTATNAAACAGAGAATTTCGACCACGAATCCGCGACTCTAGGTGCAATTACCGCTTACCGGGCCGGGCATGGCGGTGCACCTGTTCGCTAACTGCGAACTTTGCGATCATCACCCTATCGGAAACTCTCGAAATCCCCTTTTTCCGTAAATCAAACGTATCTTTTGTACGCTCCAGAGCATTATCGCGTATTTCCCTTCGGATAGTTTGTTTCGTTATTTTCTATTCTATATATAATATATATGTGATGGCCCTTTCATATCACCTTAAGAAGCTCGCTAGAATAGAAAATAACGAAACAACCTATCCTTTATATATATATGGAAGAATGAAATTTTGCGAGCATCGCGTTCTTATATATATATATAACATTTTTCTCCAAACTGGGTGCACCGAATCATTTGAAGCTTCACCACGTGATTACGAAGGTCCGAAGGAAGAACGCGATGCTCGTAAAATTTCATTCATTCAAAAGAACATTTTTTTTTATTTAGCCTACACTAGAACCAAGATCACATTTTTTTTTTTTTTTTCGTGAAATATGAAATTTCACGAGCATCGCGCTCTTCCTTAGGATCTCCACAATCACGTACAGGTAACCCTCCTATAACACGGTAGGTTCCTAGAAAAAACCGTGTTATACTCATAGACTCAGAGCCAGGACAAAAAGGGGGGATTACGTTCCGAAAACGTATTAAAAACAAACTTTTTTTTAATTCCATATAAGCAACTTAATTTTTATTAAAGATATAAATGTATGTATAACACAAAACGAAAAAAAAAAAAAAACAAGAAATATTATCTTCACGTAGAGGCACTATAGTTTATTATTCCTCCCCGCCATTATTTTAAGGTAATTTAGGGTTTAAATATGTTAAACAAAAATCATGTTATCCAGTGCCGTAGGAATACAGTGTTGTACAAAGGTTTTCGCAATTTTCTTATCGTGTTAGAGCGAAACCGTGTTATAGGATCGCGTGTTGTAGGATGGCTACCTATAGTTGTGACATACGGAGCAATCGTTGAACAATTTGATCAGTGGTATGTCTGGTTGGAATAGATTTACAAAAGTATGGACTTTAAGGTGATATGAAAAGATCGTTCTATATACAGATGAAACATAAAAGCATTTATACAACTTTTCTCCAAACTGGGTACACCGAATCATATGAAACTTCAGCACGTTATAATGTACGCTCTAAGGAAGAACGCGATGCTCGTGAAATTTGAATTTTCGTTAAAAAAAAAATTCGCCAGGATGCATGTGCCCATTCATGGACGCTCGCCGTGCGTGCGCTCGAACAGCTGATTTGCGCGGGAACTGCTATCGAAATGAGCTCCCATTTTCCGATACTCAACGTTTATCCGATAGGGTTTGTAAACTCAAAGAACACGGTCATTTTCTTGTAGTTGTGAGGTACGGAGCATTCATTGAATAATTTGATCAGTGGTATGTCTGGTTGGAATGGATTTACAAAAGTATGGACTTTAGATTTTTCATTTGAAACTTCAGCACGTGATGATGTACGCTATAAGGAAGAACGCGATGCTCGTGAAATTTGAATTTTCGTAAAAAAAAAAATTCGCCAGGATGCATGTGCCCATTCATGGACGCTCGCCGTGCATGCACTCGAACAGCTGATTTGCGCGGGAACTACTATCGAAATGAGCTCCCATTTTCCGATACTCAACGTTTATCCGATAGGGTTTGTAAACTCAAAGAACACGGTCATTTTCTTGTAGTTGTGAGGTACGGAGCATTCGTTGGACAATTTGATCAGTGGTATGTCTAGTTGGAATTGATTTACAAAAGTATGGACTTTAAGGTGATATGAAAAGATCGTTCTATATACAGATGAAACATAAAAGCATTTATACAACTTTTCTCCAAACTGGGTACACCGAATCATATGAAACTTCAGCACGTTATAATGTACGCTCTAAGGAAGAACGCGATGCTCGTGAAATTTGAATTTTCGTTAAAAAAAAAATTCGCCAGGATGCATGTGCCCATTCATGGACGCTCGCCGTGCGTGCGCTCGAACAGCTGATTTGCGCGGGAACTGCTATCGAAATGAGCTCCCATTTTCCGATACTCAACGTTTATCCGATAGGGTTTGTAAACTCAAAGAACACGGTCATTTTCTTGTAGTTGTGAGGTACGGAGCATTCATTGAATAATTTGATCAGTGGTATGTCTGGTTGGAATGGATTTACAAAAGTATGGACTTTAGATTTTTCATTTGAAACTTCAGCACGTGATGATGTACGCTATAAGGAAGAACGCGATGCTCGTGAAATTTGAATTTTCGTAAAAAAAAAAATTCGCCAGGATGCATGCGCCCATTCATGGACGCTCGCCGTGCATGCACTCGAACAGCTGATTTGCGCGGGAACTACTATCGAAATGAGCTCCCATTTTCCGATACTCAACGTTTATCCGATAGGGTTTGTAAACTCAAAGAACACGGTCATTTTCTTGTAGTTGTGAGGTACGGAGCATTCGTTGGACAATTTGATCAGTGGTATGTCTAGTTGGAATTGATTTACAAAAGTATGGACTTTAAGGTGATATGAAAAGATCGTTCTATATACACATGAAACGTAAAAGTATTTATACAACTTTTTTCCAAAGTGGGTAAAAGTATTTATACAACTTTTCTGCAAGCTGGGTCCATCGAGTCATTTGAAACTTCAGCACGTGATGACGTACGCTCTAAGGAAGAACGCGATGCTTGTAAAATTTTATTTTTCCAGAAAAAAAATAACAAGTGTTAACAATTTTGGCCGGTGCTAAAAGGGTTAAATAATCGAACGGAAAACCATGAGCTAAATAGACGCGTATTTCATTGATTTCGTCACTTGGTCTCATCCGCAGTGGTCGAATACTGTGAGACAGTATCGATATCGGCCTATTTCATCACGCGCTCATTGCAGTAACGAGATAAGGGAGTTTGGAAATCATATCGCCGTAACGTAAATACTTTTAGAAACTGGAAGTACATTCTCTTAAGAGGTAGTTTAAAATGTATAGCAGGGACAATTTTCACATAAAGTCAATAAATTATGTTAACAATACTAATTGAAGTATAATTTTCTCTTAGAAGATCACAAAGAGACCCCTAGTAACGACTGAAATTGCTCGACTTAATTACATACTTTATCGAGTTTGACGGCAAATGATTCATTTGATTGTACATAAATATAAATAATAAACTCATCTCTAAACTCGGGGATTTTCATATTATCCTGCAACGAAGTCAAACTGCAGAAACAATCTGCCAGACCAGATATTACAATTACAACTTACCAATATTATGCCTGATACCAAGAAAATATTCAATTCAATGACTTAAAATCATCAAAGTCATTAAGTTGTTTATTTATTCATATTTTCATTCTTATATTATTGGTAGCAGACAACGTCCCGGTGACAGCGGCTCTTTGTGATGCCGAGAAGAGAGAGAGAGAGACGGGAGGTATAAGAGGAGAACGGGACACTGTTCGCTTGGGCAGCGGATCCGTCTCGCCGCGGTTTCGCGGTCCTCCTCAACTAGGTATGTATGTACATATGTACGTACGCGGCACGCGACGACTGCGCTTCGCGAGGATGCATTCGCCCATNCGCCCTCGAGTGGCCGTTTTACGTCCTGAACGATTGGTCCCTCTCCGGCTGTGTCAACGTGAGCCGAAACGCGGCGTTAATATATATGTACGTATATGTATATATAGAATGAACCTTAAGTTCCGATAAGAATTATGACGAGACGTTATCTCATGAATCTACCCGAAGTGATAAAGGAACCGATAAGGCTGTTTATATGTTATATAGAACATCTGGGCGAACGATTTGACGATTCTCCGCGAGGAAATTCCGGGCGTAGAGGCGATCGCGTCGGTAGAGTATGGAAGGAACGTAAAAAGGTCATGCCTACGTGTCTCGGAAGTTGACTCGGTCGCGTGCCATTACTCCCACCTTTAGCTTCTAGTGATGGACTCGAACGAGGCATCGACCTGTGCGTTCAGGTAGATCTCTTGTACGATTTCGAAGTGGCTTCATGCCACGCGTAGCAAAGAGGTCGAACCGTTTCAATGTATCACCTGTTTTACGTTCTTGATATCTCCGGCAAACGCTATTTAATGAATTAAATTGAAACTTTAAATAATTTAGTTATACCACTGTCGAAATAACGTGTCCAATATACAGGATGAATATTTAACGAATTTATAAAATGATATCCGCAGAATGACTCTATGGATTGTTTTTTTTTCTTTTTTTTGTTTTAGATATAACTATTGTCTAATTTGGAATTGTTTACTTAGAAAAGGCGCGTTAAATAAGGCACACCATGGTCGGCTTATTTTATTTTCATTAAAGTTACCTGATTTCGTAGTGCCCGGCGCGACGAGGCGTTCCTTTCGAAAATGTCAATTGGAAATTATGGTTTATAAATATGATGTTGCAAGGAAACGATTCGCATATGAGTATTAAGAAAATAATAGCGCTGCAAATGGCTAAACCATTTTTTTTTTTTAAGAAAGAAATTGATATAGTGTTACAGATTTTTGTAAAAATACCGAAAATAAATGCATTTTATTCAAGGCATAGATACAGGCTAGAAACTAATGTAAATGATAAGCTCGTTTTTGTAAGGTATGTCGAAAATGATTGAGATTGTTCTCAATTTTCTTTTCAATGCAATCACTTATGCCAATTGGGCGAATAAATTAAATCAATAAGAAATTCAACGCCCGCGACTTTTTATTGTAAACAATGATTTCAAAAGAGGACATGTCGAGAACATGATGTTAGTCATTGTTAGTAACATTGATTTGATGAAAAAAAAAAAGCATAAATTAATTAAAGTGAAAATTTAAACTTTGGATAAGGTAACTCAAAAAATCTCTTCTGATGATATAAAGTACGTTTGCTACATTCAATATTGCTCCTCGTGCACGTCGCACATAGTCCTTTCTTTTTTCTTTTAAGAATATGTACTGTTGCTACATTAGGTAAAATTGTATAAGTAACCCGTACCAACATTAAGATGCGAACAATAGCCTTTAATTAGTGTTGCAACTTCTGCTTTACTCGCAGCATGGTAATTGTTCATCGATCCGCGTTGATTGAAATTTACAAAAATTATATTCACGTGTCTAAAAGTAACTCTTCGTCAACTAAACCATTTTTACATTTCATATTTTAAGGTAATCGAAACTTGTGGAGAATACGTTAATCAGTGAAATTCATTTAACAATTGAATTTTTTTAATCGAGGCCCCATTTTTGGTTCATGTCTTGAATAATTTGCGACTTATGTATGAAAAAGTGAACTATTTTAGACTTTATATAAACAATACGTTGTGGTTTCCCTTTCAGCAGGTTTTATTCAAATGTACATATATGTGAAATGCATAGCAGTATTTTTTCAATGTATTCCCCACTTTTCTCGAAAACCATAACGATACAATATAGCTACACAATGCTGAGTTGTATAAAATTTCTACATTACCAATATAACGTTATGTTACACAAAAGTAATTGCATATCAGGAGTTCATCTAATAGTAGGTATGCACGGTTAAAATTTGCATACAATCCTCAACAATGCAATAATGTCATTACACAAGTAAACGGTGATCGAATAATAATGTGTAATTTGTTATCAAACTTCCGACTTTATCGCAAAGACGATGAGTTATAAAAATTCTATGGTAGTTAGATTCTTTTTCAATTATTATAAGCTTGGTATTCGGCACAATTATGGTATATTCATTTACCTACAATATTTTCTATGATCAAAGTTAATATTTATAAATCATAGTAATTATGAATTTTACGACATATTAAATAAGAAATGTCGTACGGATAGATATGCTTAGGATTAGCCTTTCGCACAAAGTCGTAATACCATGCATTCGCGACGTATATACCATGTAATTCATGTCTCATTAAAAAACACTTTCGGCGTAAAAAAAAAAATGTTCAGTTAACCATGAACTTGTTTGAGATGCTATCGCGTCTCGTGATTGGATCAAATCACTTTTTAGAATCTGTTGTTTGTAATTAATGTATCACTTACTGCTTAACCCCGGATTTATGAGAATGGATAAATATAAACTGAACTTGTAGTACTGTGATATAAATATGAGATAAAACATGATAAATAAATTCACTTTACAGGCTTGTTGTAGAAATTGCACATTGAAATAAATTACACGGGAAAGTACATACGTATACAAGACGCTCCGTAAAAATACAATTGTATTATTATCGTCATTCAATATAGATATCATTTCCAGGCCATAACCATAAATGTATGGGACATCTTGTATATAATTATATATCTGTTTTGCATTTGACTCTACGATGGTTCATTCACAACAGAACCAAATACATTTCAGTACTTAGTTTGCTTATTATAAGTTTTTAAACGCTCTTAGAAAATATTTTGTACAGATGTTAGAGAAACATTCAAAGTACCTGAAGAATATCATTCTGACCGAATAAAAGGATACTTAAATCAAGTCTTGATGTGTAACTTAAGGCCCAAATATTTGTATACATCTGGCGACAGTAATTATTTTGCTTTTTGCTCGAATATCTTCACAAAGAAGTGATACATCCTGCAAAATATTTGCAACATTTGCGAATAAGAATCCTGAGAATTTCGATGATTGTGTGTGCGCAGTATTTGCAGGAATATATTTGACTGCCATGACATAAACGAATGGTCATTCATTTTTAAGTTTACTTTCGCTCTCTTGTTGGCTTCCTTCGTCTTCTTCGTCTGAATAATTTGTTGGCGTTTCTCCAGGTTTCAATAATTTTCCAACATAATCGTACCTCTCTGTAAAGCAGAAAATTATTAGCGTTTAATAAAATTACATTAATTGTGTACGTTTTCTATTACATATAAAAAAATTGTAGTTTAAAATTAAACGTAACCTATGATAACGTTGATGGATAAATATATTATAACATTTTATTCAGTTACTCCTTAATATACGTTTTAATATATGGCATTTATGCATTAAAATTTATCTTTTTTTTTTTTATTATATTTATATAAATCCATATTTTTTGTGGAAAGTGTTTGTTTACATTTTTGTAGGCATATGATGTTCTTACATAAATAATAGCCATTAAAGAGTGTAACTTAAAGAAATATAAGCTATGACAATTCCAAAAATATTAAGTATTTTTTTCCTTAACGTTATGCAAAAAATTAATTTTTAAATGTTTGAAGTTAAGAATTTGAAGTTGAAACATTGTTTCAAAATCCCGAATTATAGATTAAATAAAAAATGTATTTAAGATAGCAGAACTTCAGTAATACCTGCACATTAGAACACGATGCAACAATTACATTAATATCTCTACCAGATCAACAGAAAGTAGTATATCAGAAATGCAATGTTTAACTAAGAATGGACTTCATTCATATCAGCAACATAATTTCCGTTCGAAACCGGAGTTGTAAAACTCTAGGCCTTGAACTTTGTTCCTATGTAATTATACTTTGTAATGAGGAGACCAAGGATGACTAGTCAATTCTGAGATTACAATAAAGTACAGGTACAGTAAAAGATAAAATACATTGTACAATAAAGTTGTCAAATAGCATCAGAAAAAAAATGTCTATTTTAGAATTGAGTTTGTATCCATTTTAATAATAATACCGTTAATAATATCTTTTATCAACCTTTTATTATTTGTATATTTGTATTAGAAACCGTTCACTTTTATATTTGTAAAATATTTTCTAACATGCTGTTCAATTTAACAATATTTCTAAGATCACTGTTGATGGAATTAGAAGAGAGGAATTTTTCTATTCTTTTTTTTTTTAAATTGATAGTTGGTTTCAGTAAAATTGTATTATTAGAATCAATTATATTCCCGCAATATGCTAATTTAACTTAATCTCATGCCGCTTCAATTATTGCTTTACATTACCTTTGAATTGTGCTTCCCATTCCAAGACCGAATTCATTTGTGCAGTGTCTAAATCACTCAAGTCATCGTACTTGTCTTGTCCAGTAACGTCAAAAGTGGCCAATCCCCGGCTGGCATCTCGTCCTCCAAAAGCTGCATAAATCCCTCCTATATAATAAAAATATAATATGAATAACTTCTAAAGAAATCTTACCAAGGATTATAAATTATTTTTTATATATTTCGCATACACGATAATTATGTTTAAGACCCCAAATAAAGTATTAAGTAACAATTCAATTTACTGTAAGCAATTCATCAATTTCCTTCAAATCAAATAAAAGGCGCATCATCCAGTTGAAAAATAATGCTTCTCATATTCAGCGACGGTCTTTGAACATTTTGAAAGTTTATTTCGATAGGAACCAATCCGCAATTAAAGGCTAACCGTATCTTTGTGAATATTGACGATTTTCTAAATTGATCGCACCGAAATAAGAACCAACCACTGGTCGCAAAAACTAATAACCAAGAAAAAAAGTATGCGATCATACAATGAATGAATAGCAGTTATCCGCTTACCAGGACCATAGAATCTGGAGCCCTTGGTAACGTCATAGACACTACCGTTAACAGCTACGCAGATACGTCCATCGGGCCCAGTACCGTCGTACTTCTTCAGTTCCTCGAGGGTGAAATCTCTCCTCATTTTAGGCAATTGTTTCATGACTGTGACTTGTGGCTTTTCTGGCCTTATTTTGCTCTTGATAATCGCATAAACGAGGGAAGCGATTATCGCGACTAGGGTGAGGTTAAGGGGACTACGTACAACCTCGGCTACGAAGCTCGCGAAGAAGCTCTCCTCCTGGTGATTACCCGTAGGAGGGTCCGCCAATTGCGGGACCTCTTGTTCGGCCATTTTAACCACCAAGTACGGTATATATTTGAACGTGCAGGAGTAGTTTTATCGCGACGATATCACTGACGTCGACGTTGGTATCGCGGATAAGCACCAGCGGATGCGACTCGAGGCCTCGTGGACTCGCGGAAGGTAACGGAAGAACTTCTGGCTTCTCTCGTGCCCGACAACCTGTCGACGTCGGCGCCTGCCGAGCGGCGAGTCACGTCGAGCTGCGATGAGTTGCGGCGGTGAGAACGTTCGGCTGCCGAACGACGCCTACTTGGCTCCACTGAACGCCGCTGCTCGCGGCTAACCTCTACGAACGAATCGCCGCGCTTCGGGCCGCCACTAGTGACCGATGCGTAAGCGGCTCCGCCTCGATTCTAATCAAGTTACGGAACGCTCGGCGAGTGCCGAGAGAATTAAATCCAATTTCTTATACTCGACTTGCACATTATCTTCAACGAATATGGTTGCTTGATCCCTAATAAACAAATTTCCCCGTTTTACCTTGCATGCAATCCGGATTCGGGAGTCACCGGTGTCCCGTTAGACGCACTTCTTGAAGTACCCCTGAAGGTGCAATACCGATGTGCGCGTCAAGGGGCGATGGCGATTCTTTAAACCGTTTACTTTTAAGAACTTCTTGCTTATCAGGTGGAGAAACTAAAACGCAATCGGAGTCTCGAATCGCCCAGCAAGTTTGCGAGAATTGCAGAAACTAGCGTCGCGGTTTCGTCGGTCGTCAGGTGATCGTTGCATCGAAGGTCTACTGGGAAACGGAGCGTATTATTACACCCGGTTCGGTCCAGCTGTTTTTCCAGAATCACGTCAAGTCATCCTATGCCGTCATTCGAATCGTACAAAGTGCGCGCGTGTCGTACCAGGTGTATGTATGTACATATGCACTCGGCGCAAGCGGTGCAAATTTGAATCAATCAGTACGATCATGTAGGTAGTGCTCTAACGATGGTAAAAAGATACGAAGCGTGGAATGGTACTCTCGAGTACTCTTACATTTGTCTAACCTGCTTCGTATATTTTATGTGAATACATTATGCAGCAAAGGTGGTAACTAAAACGCAATAAGTTCATGGGAATAACAATTGCAGTGTTCATGGTTTTATTTGTCTTTTGATAACAAATTTCAGATGTACAGTCCTTTTTACATGTTATTTTTTCAAAGCACAGCATCAAAACCAATATGTGTATACTTATACTAGAGCATATGTTCAATTGTACTTAAACATCGGTACTGTCCTTGGACGGAAGTGTAGATTTAAATTAGTTAAAGTGATACGCACACGGAAAGCAATTGATTATTTAAGTTGCTAACATTAAAGGTATCGTGTTGGCATTTTACTCAAACAACACATTAAAACAATAGGAAAAATCTAATACTTTCTATCGTGTATGTACAAGAGTTTATATCTATTTTCGTGTATCACATGTTGTCTTTGTGGTCGATAGATAAACCAACTGAAAGTCTTTTACAAATTAACATATGGTACAGTTTTTCACATTATTAGATCAATTCTCATTATTTTGGTTTTTATACATTAAAGAAGTGTTTGATTTTGTGTGGTAACAAATAAATAAAATAAATATTGATATGCACTAGTCAACTTATCAATTATTCACTCAAATCTTGATCCGCTAAGATTACAAGTGTCGTTTCTTTTAATTTAATCCATTCGGGTCATTCGTTAAAACTGGCTTAACCAAATATGATACACTGAACTATGTATAATTAGAATCTTATTTTTCTTTCATCTTGGATATCAAGATATGGACGGATATTAATTTCAGAAGATACCACTGCTGGATCTACTCGTTCCGAACACATTGGACAAGTATCTTCTGTTTCAATGATACTAAAAGAACATTAATATTACTGCTGTGGTAAGAATATTTTTAAAGTACATTTTGATCCCTGTTATTACGATATCGTGTGTTCTACACACAAACGTATACACGTTTAAGAAGAATTCTCTACATTGCAATAATATGGATGTAAAATATAAAAAAACTTACCGCAAAAACTCTGATCTTATCGCAGGAAATTCACATTTTGGACAGACTGTGAAGTCATCTTCAATGATGTGTCGGCCCTGATGAAAATGATATTTTGTCATATTCTTATATTACATTGTACTATTAAACAAAAAATGTGTAAAAAACAAACCGTTGCAATACAAAATGGTATTGTATTCTTGCATTTATCACACATTATTTCCGTTTCAGGAACTTTATTTTTGCAATAAGGACAAGGTGTCAAAGGTTCGTCCTCTATTTCAGGATCTTTGGATTTCGGTGGTTTTCGTACAATTGCTTCAATTTTTTTACTATATTTTGCATCAATTTGTAATCTGTATTCAGGACGCATAAGCATTGCTGCGAAATTGAACGCAGCATGCTTTAACCCAGCTCGATGACATTCTATAACTGTCGATGTTAGAATTGGAACTATATCTGAAAACATCAAATGTTTATTACTTTTGTTAAAGTTATCCTGGATTACAGTATACTTACGGGATGGAAATTTGGAAATATTGTTAGCAACCCTTATTAGCATCCTTGCACTCCGTAGGTGATCATTCCTTTTTACATGTAACCGTACCAAAATGTAAGAGTGCAAAAGTCTTAGATTGTTTTGCATTTCCAAGGGTATGTTGATTTTATTTCTTTTCAACTCTTGATACATGCCAAATAAGACATCATGAGCATTCCTATAATTTCCTGTATAAAGAAATATTTTAGTTTTAATTATTGGAAGAACAATTAGCCGAAAACTCTTCACATCAATAAACATGCAATTCTTTACAAGTACCATTAATTTGCTCCTCGTTAGCTATTATTATTGCTGTTTTTGCTGCCTCTTTATATTGCTTTCTGGCCATATACAATCGAAACAGGTACTTGGGATCCTACACATAATTAAACAATAGAAATTTAATTTCAGTTTTATAGCATTAATACTGTTTTTAAGAATCGTGTTATACCTTAGGTAAACCATCTCCTCCCAATAAAAAGTCTATCAATTGATTAGCAAGTTTGTCGTCTTTTGATGACGCAACTGTGTCAATAGCCAAAGTCAAAGCATTATCGTCGTCTGCAGCCAATTGTGCAGCTTTTAATAAATGCTTCAAAGCCTAAAAAATCAAAATAATAAATGGCACTGTAATATACCATTTCAAAAATTATATCACTACTAAACTGTACCTTCTGAAATTCTTTAGCATGGAAGTAATATTTCCCCGCTAAAAGGCTATTTTTTTGTGATTCAAAATAAATGGCAAGGCTCTTGAAGTCTTCCTTTCTAACATTATCGTCGTCAAGGGTGTTTACCAGAATTTCCCCATATAATTCCATTTTGCTATGCTGATTTGCGAGTTGAAATGCTTCATCGTGACAGTTTGACAAAATTAAAAATTTAATGGCCGAATTATAGTCATTCATTTTTTGGAAATATCTTGCAACCATTTTAGCCCCTTCAATACTCTTTGTTTGCTGCACTACTTCAACACTTCGGGCTGCAGAGAGTATCAAAACTTATCATAATTTTAATATAGAATAGTAGTTGTAAGAAGAACGTTAAGGAAATATAAAAAGAAACATCACCTGGATTGTTTAAATGCTCAAGATTAATCCTGATAATATTATCATAATCTTTAGCAGTTTCATACGCTGCAGCGGCCTCCTCATATTTTCCATCGGCTTCTTTTGCTTTGGCGTACTGTATATTAATTTTAGGCGATAAAACTTGTGGTAAAAGTTGCCCAACTTTGTACCAATTTTTCAGTTTTATATATGCCGATGCTGCTTTCTCAAAATATTCCGCCTTTTCATACAATATTGCAGCTTCACTAAATTGCTGCGAATTTGCGTAAAGTTATAGAATTTAGTCGAACGTATTTTTTAAACACTCATTAAACTATCATACCTTCATAGATTCTAGGATTTCGGCGCATTCCTTTCGCAGTGATCGTGGACTGTCATTATCCATGGCTATGCCAACACCTCGTCTACTATCGCCACATCTAATAGACATCCTTGCAATTCCAGCAAGACATTGAGTTCGATGATTTAAATATTGTGAACTTGAATTTATATGGGCACCACAATCCACTAGACCTCTTTCGTAATTTACCAGAGCTTTCGGGTAGTTGCCACTATTATCGAAAAATTAGATTAAGAGTTTTCGATAATGATCTGAACCTTATATTTATAAATGACATCGTTAAACCTTTTGCTACCAAGATCCGCTCCATTATAGTACCACCAATAAATTGGACCCCGCACCAAATGTATCGATCAATGGGTGCTGGGTATATCCAGCATAAGGAATGAAAGAGTTAAAAACCTACGTGAATTCTAATTGCTGTGCATATTCTCTGGCAATAAATGGTATTTCTTCAGGCTTTAATTTTTGTGCTAAACTCAATGCCTGCTCCCATTGCATTAAGTCTCTTCTCAGATATAGTGCTTCGACGGGTTGTGAAGATTGTAGGAAAAATTTTTCTGCTTGATCGTAATCACCAAGTAAAGTACATATGTGACCGGAGAGCAGTGCTAGTTCATCCACGTTATTTAATTTCTGTAATGCCCACACCATAGATGCGTCTTGTATGTGCTGATAGACACGAATACCTGTAAAGATAGGTAATTATACATATTTGATGGTGTAAGTGAATGTAATTATTAATTTAACTTTTATCATTTATTGCTGTAATATTAGGCAATTTGTAGATATATTGTGCTACGTATACAACTTACCCAGGTCTATATTTAAATTTGACATAGCACTTTTACCCAATTTCAACCAATATTCTTTTTCATTGAGTTTCTCACACGTGTCCCATGCCTGTTGAAATCTGTACACATAAAAAATATATTTAATTCCTTCGGAGAATATGATACAACTTTTTACTCGCATACCTTCTGCATGTGATTTGATTATTAAAGATTTCATCTATCCGCTTAATTTCCACGGCATTACCCACATCTTCGTGTGACGATAAAACGATCTGCGTTAATTTACTTCCAACTGTACTTAAAGTTAATTCACCTGAATACATTAGCGTTGGTATCGTTTCTGAAGGTAATTTTGTTGTGCTAATTTTGATCACCTTCACACCTGTTATTAAATGTAGTGCGGTTAAAGTCATAGCATTTAAGGATAATTATAAACGTTTTCTTTGTGAACCCACCATCAACGCAATGCTTCACAAAAATATAGGATACAATGACGTTCTTGTTGTACACTCCAAATATTGCACGTTCAAACAAATTTTGATCCCAAATGATGCCTTCGATCGAATCCGGACAATCTGGTACTTGAAAAGTATTTTCATTTATTGGGTCGTATACGTAAACGTCGGACTTGTCATCTATGAAGCACAGCTGTGTTCCGTTTGCGTCTAAAAAGAGCTCTCTTATTCCAGTATTATGAGAGAATTCTGTGGAGTTGTTAAAGCCCTCAAGAGAAAAATAAATGATTCGACCCATCTGAAAAATATAAGATATTTAATATACGCCATATAAAAGCTTCCAGTCCAGGAAGGTTTAACTTTTGCCAATGGCTTCATTGTCTTTTCTAATATGTTCTTTTAGTTTCCGTTGCAAAATTAGTTCTCTTTTACCAGTTACTTCAAAGGATTATTTTTCATGCATTACATGCGAATAAAGGAGCGAAGGAAAAATAGTATATACAGAATAAATCGTGATAATAATGGTCGGGACTGCGATCTTCTATCCTTTTATAATTATTGTTCAGTAACCATAAATATAAAAAGGGAATGATGCAATAGACTACTTATGAACATGTTGCTTTGATTCCCTAATCTAATTTACAATATTATTTTTTAAATGGAATCAATGTTCTTACATCGTTACCAAAAACCAAGAAGTCTGGAGATAGTGCATGGCATGTGATCTTAACATCTGAAACGTTAGAATCAGGAAACATCTTTGACTCTTTTCCACTGTTGATTAAAGTTTGTTCAGTTTTAATCTGTAATAGAAATAAGGAATTGTATATTATATTCCAGAATTTTAACTCTGTTTATATTGTTTTTAAATACTTTAAGGAAACATTATCCTATTCTTTAGTGTTTTTTTTTTTATTTAAAACGATATATGTTTGAATTAAAAACTACGTTTAAAAATATAATTATTAACATTCACTGAATCAGCTGCAGGAACAATCGTTAAACGAGGGATAAGATATATTGTACTGTACCGATTGCAGTTGTAATTTCCCATCGAATAAAACCGACACATAGACTTCGTTTAAACGTATACTGTCCACCGTTGCTAAATAGTCACGTTCGAAATGCATTGATATGTTGTACTGCTCAACTGTCAAGTCCCAAAACAATGCTCGATTATTTAAAGCAACTGCTAGATGCGTTGGTCCTACTGCTAGAACAGATGGCTCTATAATTGTATTGATGATTTGTGGGTTTGTTTTATTCTGAAAAGTTAACAAAGTCATTTCAGGCATATTGTACATTCAGTCTTAAGGGTGCACGCGCACGCACATACACATCCTTAAAAAATATATAAATTCTTTTTTTTACCTTATTTAGAGTATATAAATGCACTACAACTTCAGTTAAACTTGTTAAATGTGCTATTCGATTTCCGCATACGCTGATTAATTCAGGTATTTGCATGAGGTAAACTAAAACATTTCCACTGTAAGTAACTGCTGCTATCATCGATCCATCTGCTGACCATTCAATCTGGCTAATTCCCGTTTCTCCTGATATCGTTATTATTTTATCAGTTTCTTCTAAATTTTGAAGATGGTGAACTTTCAATGTGTTATCTCCACAAGTTGCTACTTTGCCTGTGACCGGACTTAATGCTATATGGCTTAATGAATCTCTATGGTTTTTTAATTGAAACAATTCTTGGCCCACTTCTTTAATGTGAGTTGATATGGCAATAAAATACCCTGCCTCAAAACCAACTAATATGTATCCATCTCCATACCTGAAAATTAGAAGGATAAGTTTTTTCACAATATATAAAGAAACATTTTCCATTAAACCACTTACCATTTGTAAGTAACAATCGGTCCATAACGTTTTTGAAAGGCTAATTCAATGGGATTGTCTGGGTCCAGAACGTTATATAAAAATAATGTTGTTTTGCTCACAATGAGAGATACCTACATAGATAATATAAAGATAAATATACATCAAAACTAGAAAGATATCTTAACATATTTACAACTAGAGTCTTTATACTTAAAAGGCAATATGATTTTGTATTCACTTACAGTGTTTTCACCACCAATGCGATGATCCATTTTCATTTCACTAAACTGTACATCTGAAGGATCCCCTTGCAGTGGTATTTCTCTACGTGTATCTCCATCGCTTGTACTTATTGTTAAAACCTTATCTTCACTTGCTAATGCAAGTAATCCTTCCATTGACCAAGCACCACACAATATGCGTTTTTTGTGTTTCCCCAAAATTGGAATGCGTCTAAAAGAAATTAAACATTTATTTTTTAACACAAAGACTCAGAAGCAGAGAAGAACTAGTATTTATATTATATATAAAAGTTATTGTAGAATCAAAAAATCAAGAATTCAATCTAAGAAATAATTGCAACAGAATGCATCACAGTAAGTATTGTAGATTCTATCAAACGTATGGTAACATGACAACATTGTTTTATTTAAACAAAATAAACTTAATCTCTTTGGTAGAGATGATCGGTCACCATGTGGTATTGACATCCAAAAATAATGTCTCGAAAGAAAAACTGAAAACTATTCAACTTGAATGATACCTTGAATTATTATGATCATAGAAGGCCAAGTTTCCCTTCTGAGTACCAACTGCTAATATGCAATTTCTTTTAGCCCACATCATACATGTAAGTGCATCTCTCACTCCTGCATCAACTTGAGATTTCTTTCCTGTCGTTGCATCCCATAGTATTATACTGGATGAATTACTCGATATGATTGCCAAAAGATCTCCATCTGCATCCCACCCGAATCCTGTACATAACCCAGGAAGTTGAATGCATTCTTGCATTTCTCCTTGTCTATTAAAAATGGCAACGGTTGAATCACAGCCTGTTGTAGCTAAGTGTGTACTATTATTGGATCTCCATGCAACGTACACATTGCCCGGTCCATGTGGTTGGTCTAAACGATATAAAACCTATACCGCAGAGTTAAAAACATTAATCATAATGAAAGATCAATACAAATTGAATCGTAGCAAAGTATAACGAGTAGCATATATACTTTCAGACCACTTAAGGATATGTATTTTTGTGAATAGATATGTAACTTCGCATTTCATTGAAATTAAAGTTGTCAAAAAGCATAACCTACCTTTTCATCAGCCATTATATTAGCTATTTTCTTAATCAACTGACGTCACTCGACAGACTTGAAAGCATTAAGTACTTATGCTACATATTTGTTATTACAAAATTAGCTTATAACTTTTCTCATAGTTGCGATATTGATTTACTGAGAAAACATTGTTTCACCTGCTATTCACCGTGATCGCCATGTTGTTTACTTAATGCTATTCCATAAGTTAAAGTTTTACGAAAGAATTCAGAAGTCCACAGGAGCCTGATTCTATGTTACCGTTTGATGCTCTAAAAGTTGCTAACAAACCAGGAGTGGGGGTAAAACAGAGATCACATGTGTGGCCAATGGTATCACATACGGGAGGAAGAGAGACGCATATAGAAAGGCGAGTTGTGTGTAAGATAAAGAAAGAATGCAATCCGCTATATAATATCGCTATAAGATTAAGAGAGATGGAGAGATGATTACAGTGGCGCCATCCGGTGGCTAATATACTATTTATCGGGCATGAACGTAAGAATATATGGATGGAGCCCAAGCCAGAGGTGAGAAATGCCTGGAAGTGCCGGAGTAAGTAAAGGGGGAACACGTTCCTGATTGGCTGAGATTTTGTTACACAAATAAATGTCATTCAACGTTTTATTTCATTAATTCATTATGATTTTTTACATTGGAGTTCCCTAGAAAGAGAAATTATACAATACGGAAGATGATATTTTATACATCTTGGTCTAGTTGCGGAGTGTGGTACGAAATGTGATGATATAAGTTACAAAATGACATATATTTTGATATCCAGGCCAATTCCGAAAGTACTAGAAACAGGAGGAAATAAATTCCTATGTGAAGTCATTTAAAGTAGCATTTATCAGCATTCATTAATCACGGCATATGGAAGGATGATATGAATATGATTATAATTTAAAAGTAGCTGCTAAAAATGGACAAAATGTTACGGTTATATGGGTGGAAAGAACTAATTACAAGAAATGTGGTTAAAAGAGAGGGAATAATGGCGTGTTTTAGTGTGAATAAGAACAAATCCATTGTGAATACCTTTTATAACAATGATAGACAGTCTTTGTACCTTTTAAGAAAACTCCATTGGCATATTGATCCATTAGTAAAAATTGTCAAGCCATCCAATTTCATATTTCCTTCCTTACTACATGTGTTTGAAAGGCAAAGAGAATATAGAAGAAATAGTGAAAATTCGAGGCGGCAGTATAGACGTTGGAAAATCATTTTAAGCAGTTTTGGTGTAATCATTGCTTCATGTGATGCAACAAGTTTTACTAAAGGTTAGTATCACATGGAATTGATATTGAAATCTTTTTAAAAGATCATAAAAATGTATCAAAGAGAAATATTTTTCAGAAAAGAGACTTTTTAGAGCAGCGAAATATGGTAATATTCCTGATCTTAAAAGGGTAAGCATAATAAATGTGTTGAAACAAATTTTGAAAGTAATATTTAGTACATTTTTGTCTAATAGGCATTAGCAGATGGGGTGGATATAAATACAAGGCACCCGTTGGGATGGACAGCATTACAAACTGCCGCAATTAATGGGAAAGTAGATGCAGTACAATTTTTACTGAAGAATGGCGCAGATCCTAATGCTGGAGATCATTTTATTAACGTATATAAAACTTCTAAGGAAAAGAAATTAAATACTTTAGATGGTATATTTAATGAAATAGTACATTTAATGTTATATTTTTAAAATTTTTCATTCAAGTATAATTAGTTGATTATATACAATTTTAACCGTTTGAGTATCAAGCAGCGCAATCGCGTTTCTTCTATCCTATGTCTAAAACTGCCAGCGCTCTAGGTTGCAGAACCGACCATAACAACATGCTAGACATGGAATAAGACGAGTGCTATCGCGCTGTTCAGCATTTTTGAGCATGGAATAAAAGAAGTGCTATCGCGCCGCTTGGCAATTTTTTTATTAGGAAAGAGCAAAGACCTGTGGCACTCAAACGGTTAATGAAATAATTTTATTGTATAGTTATCTGATCATGATATATTTATTATTAATCTGAAATCAATTACTTATTTGTATTTTTTAATGTGTTAATGTATTGCAATGATACTGTAATTCTAATTCCATATTGCAGCAGTACTGTACTAGTTAAAACAACTTATTGTTTATTATTAATATTTATTGCTAATTCATATTTTTTAATATATTTTAGTGCTCTTGACCTGGGAGGAAGAATTCTCAGATCGGCTAAATAAGAGAGCTTCATTCCAAGGATTTACAGCGCTACATTATGCTATATTAGCAAATTGTAAAGAATGTGTAAAAGCATTGTTAGATGGAGGAGCAAATCCTACTATAGAAAACGATGCAGGTCATCGCCCTATTGAATACTCCAGAGATGACGAAATGAATGAAATGCTTATCAAATCTGCTCTTGAATTTGATGAAATTCAGAAACAAAAGGTACAACTGTTTTTGACAAATTTTTATGATTTCAGTATTTTTGTATTGAGTTTCTTAATGATGTGATAAGTAAAAAATGTCTTTGTTAGGAAGCAGAGGAGCGACGGAGATTTCCACTAGAGCAACGTTTGAAGCAACACATTGTTGGTCAGGAAAGTGCAATATCTCTTGTAGCATCAAGTAAGTTCATTGTGTAATTAAATACATTTCTAGATATTTAAATTATATAATAATAACAACAACAACAATAATAAGTAATATTATTTTTCAGTTTTTAAATTATAAATAATAGTCCTTGTGAATTTTAGTTCTTAATTATGATCTGAGTATTTTTTCAGCTATTAGAAGAAAAGAAAATGGTTGGATCGATGAAAACCATCCATTAGTATTCTTATTTTTGGGTTCATCTGGTATTGGAAAAACTGAATTAGCTAAGCAAATAGCGGCATACATTCACAAAAATAAGACAGACGGTTTTATTCGTTTGGACATGTCCGAATATCAAGGAAAGCATGAAGTTGCTAAGTTAATCGGAGCTCCACCTGGGTATCTAACAAATTTTTATTATTTTAAGCAATTTACATTTACTAAAAAATACTCAGAAATATCTGGTTTTTAATTATTGTAGTGTACAGTCATGCATTTCTTATTTTAGTTATGTAGGGCATGACGAAGGTGGCCAACTAACTAAGATGCTGAGTAAATGTTCTACTGCAGTGGTACTATTTGATGAGGTGGATAAGGCACATCCTGATGTATTGACAGTGCTCCTTCAATTATTTGATGAAGTATGTATTTGAGAAAACTTTATGAATACGGTAAATACTTTGAATCTAGCTATTACTAATGCTCTCAGGGTCGATTGACAGACGGAAAAGGAAAGACGATTGAATGCAAGAATGCAATATTTGTTATGACATCAAACCTGGCGAGTGATGAAATAGCGCAACATGCAATGCAGCTTAGAGAAGAAGCTGAACGAATGTTTGCAGTTAGACTGAATAAAGTTTCGGATGAGGATCAAGAACCAGAACACATTGAAATATCACGTAACTTTAAGGATAATGTGGTAAGTAGAATCTTTTTTTTCCAGATAGTCCTGTATTTTAGCGTAATACCTTTTATTCACAATTTTCAGGTTCGACCCATTTTGAAAGCTCATTTTCATAGAGACGAGTTTCTGGGTCGCATAAATGAAATCGTTTATTTTCTGCCGTTCTCTCGATCGGAACTTATCCAACTTGTTGCTAGAGAACTGGAGGCTTGGGCTGCTCGAGCACGAGATAGACATATGGTTGAACTAAAATGGGACCGAGAAGTATTATCTGCTTTAGCTGATGGATACGATGTTCATTATGGTGCTCGTTCAATAAAACATGAAGTGGAACGCCGAGTAGTTAACCAATTAGCAGCTGCTCATGAACGTGGTCAAATAGGTAATTAGAAATTCATTATTATTGCCAATAGAAGAAATAAAATTATGAGTAGGATATTTTTCAGGAAAAGGATCTTGCGTTTTGCTGAAAGCAAAATGGCATGATGATGGTGTAAGCATTGGCCTATCGGTTCGACCTGCGGGAGTGAAAGAGTTTACAGATATCGTGGAACCGGATTATTTGATGAGTAATACTAATTATGTGTTTTAAATCTGATGAAATGAAAAATGCAACAGGACACCTAGGACGTGACCGTGTAGATTATGTACAGAACAACGAAGCTAATTTCGTAGGATGCGTAAATTTATAGTTTTATTGTATTTCAATGAATGTCGCATTACAATGTTTACTGGAAAATTCTTATATAATGTCCTCCTTTCTAACGGAAGATTTAAAAATGACTGAGTTAGCTTTAATAAACCGTTAATGTACCTATGATTTGTACTTACCATCTGTTACTACCAAGTAGTATCCTCATATAAATGTATGTTTCTTCATGGACGAGCTGCATGTGATATAGATTTATTGTAATACCACATAATAGATTGAGTTGGAACATGATAAACCAAACGTGATGGTGTAAATATCTTTATTATTTTGAACCAATCACATAGGATACATGACAAGAAAATAAGTTAAACATCACATTTAAGGTGTAATATAGTTCATTGCGTTTACCTCTAAGTGAATGAGGTAATTAAATCGGATTCAGGGGGATGTACTGTAGATACATTTGTTTGACTTGTACCTTCAGAAAATCAAAATCTTGTCCATTCCTTTCTGTTAACATCTACGAACTTCTGAACCCCATATTTCATTTATTCAACATTGAAAATAGTACGACACATCGTGTTAATATATATGTGCTTTGCATACATATAATATATAAACAATACATTTTTCATAATGTATTAATACATACATACACATGTATATGTATGTGTTATATATGTATCTATAGAAATACTGTAGGTATATGTTTAAGCGTACAATATCGGACTCCACTCTTTTGATAGAGCGTTTCTCATCGGTATAATTTTATATAGCTTCTTATATCGTCATATAATATATGCATATATTTAACAGCAATAAACATTAACCTTATCTTTTTTAAATATAACTGACGTAAAGCTGGTTGATCTGCCTTCTGGAAAATGTATCGGAACATTTTATCAAATGTTTGATAAGTCATTCCGATATGCACGTGTTTCAATCAGTCTACTGTAAGAGACTTGTTCCTTCCTTATATCTTTCCCATCGAAATAGTTGCAGGCATGGTTTTCCCGTTGGTTCGAATTTTTATTTTTTGCCATTTGGATGGCCGGAATATTTTGGTTGACGAGCGGTACTGTGCCTTACTGGAAATATGTAATTCGATGGGAGAGATTTAATTTAATGAAAAAATGGATCAACTGGCTTACAAGTTTACCTTAAATGATGAAACGTTCATCCAAGTCCCGTCAAATTTTATTCGAAGTGTATTTCAACTGAAGAAATGTGTTAATAAATACCTATAAATGATGTATTAACATTTATGTTTACTACTTGTATAACTGTAACGTGTTAATTTAATGTTTTCAATTAAGAGAAATTAAGAAAGAATTAAATATGCATATGATATATTTGTAAGAACGTAGTAAACGAATGTTTTGTATATGAACGCATCTCTAGATATGTGAGGTTACTTCTTACGTTTTGACAGAATTCTTATACATACATGTATATATATTAAACATGTAAAATGTTTCTTAGGGCACTTTTACATCGGGGCTTCAAGCCGTCAAAAATAATGTTTACCGCAAATATCGTGTCTTGAATATATCTTTATAGAACGCGCGCAATACGAGACTTGTATACAATATAACTTCTATGTTTGTACGTGTCATCGGTGCACCCAGGCGTTCAAGATTGAAAACACTTAAAACAAAATTTGATGGTAATTTGGCAAACGTTTAATAGAGTATATAAGAGTTCCTTGAAGTTTTAATCTTCTTGGTGTACACTTTTTAAGGTAACTTTATAATTCAGAGCCCAGGTGGGTGTTAACACCGTTAAACATTAATATTTAACAATGTTAAAATCGTCCACTATAAAAGAGGCACAATGATTGCCGTAAATTAGAAATAGTGGAAATATCTCACTGTTAAACTTTTTACACTCGATGGTGCTTATCAACTGCCACAATGTTCTTTGATAACATACATAAATACACGCTACCCAAAAATATTAGAAAAATATTTGTTCCTTTAAAAACCCTACTTTTATTGCTACATACGTAATTTTCAATGTATTTTTCTGGCATTTCGTGTAATTTATAGGCATTTATGCACTACAAATGATCAATCATATAAAGTATAAATTCCGAGTTAAGTGTGATTTATTAATCCTTTTTATTAAATGAATCATTTATTCGATTTTACCCACACGTATGCATTTAATGTATACCACCAACCACACATATGTCGTTTCAAAATAACTGTAACATAAGTTTATATGTACAGTTGGTGGTATATATTGCGTGCATATGTGTGGGTAAAGTCGAGTAAATGACTGATTAATTTAATAAAAGGGATTAATACGTCATACTTTACTTAGAATTTATACCTCATTTTATTTATTATTTGTAGCGCGCAGTTCCTATAAATATTACATAAAATACCAATAAATCTATTGAAAATAGTGCATGTAGCAATATAAGTAGGATTTTAAATGAATAAATATTCTTTTTAAGTGTTCTTGGGTAGTGCGTAATTTCGATCGGTTCGATGTATGCCATCGAAGCACTGCGCTATAACCATAATAAACCTGTTAGATACATTAATAATTATCACAAGTGCAAAATACTAATTTCATTGATACTCTTTACAGACTTCTGGTTGACGTAATCCTTGGTTATGCAGCTGCCCTAGTAGCATAGAATAATTTCTAAATATTTCTTTATAATCTTTGCTAAATATCTCGAGCG